TTAAAGCATTATGAACACTTATGAAAAAAACCAGTGAATATTTTAAACACACAATGATATTCAGATAACAAAATAGAGCATTGGTTTTTACCATTTTTAATAATCAGGAAAACAACAAGGATTAAAACATTTTTGGGGGACATTCCACCCCATATTTCTTAGCTTTAGAAGGTTCCACTGTAGGTTATGAAGCTGCTTTGTCTCCTACAGGCATCCGTAGGAAGCTGAGTGAGTCTAGGGATAGACCATAGTTTTTACCAATTGAATCTATATTTAACCTCATCACCTAAAATGCCAACAGAAATGTATTACATTCTTTATTTTTTAAATACTGGATGTTAGCAGAGTCAGGCTCTGTAATGGCATCAAATTAACCTTCTCTCACCAACATCTCCATCCCTGCGAGGTTAATTAGCAGCAAGGTGCAGCTTGTCAAAGTCATTGATCAATCAATCATCTTCATTGATTTGAGAAAAGAAACTATAGCTGCCCATTGATCTGCGGATGGGTAGGAAGAATTTCTCCAAGAATTTAAAGTGGCTTTCCTACGTACTTAAACTTCATGAATTGCTCAGATATTCTGGTTGAGTACAAAGGTTTTCCTATTACTTTATGACACTCTGTTGTCATTTATCTGTTATTTTTATATTTCTGCTCTATTTATTGCCAAACTTAAGAGTTGTCCATTTTACCATAACAAGACCAAATGTACAGCACAGTGCACAAGTGTTAATAATGATGCAATGGAGCCAAGAAAGTCTTCACTACATCCCCAGCCAAGGAATGAAAAAAAGGAGAAAAATCCAATATCAAGTGTGAAATGCACAAAAATATCGTATTGGAGGTGAAAGACATAATAGTGTGCTGATTACAATATAAACATTGTAACCTGATTAAATAATCGAAACAAGAGTCAAAGCCTCAGAAACAGGCACATACTGCTAACAGATGGCAACAGCATATGTGATTCTCTGCTGATGTCACCTAGTGAAAAAACTTATTTTGAGGCTCAAAGGGGACTAAATAAACAAAATGACAAATCCCCTTAAAGGTCCATCTTTTTGCGGAGACAAATTTTCACAAGTGGACACACCTGATTTTAAATGAAGTCAAAATGCGTCATTTCACATTTTGACATTAATGTACAAAAAAGAAGAATCAGGAAAAGGCTGGACAAATAAATTCTGTGTCAGGAACACAGGACAAATGATCTTCTCTCTAAACAAAGGAAGCCTAGTCAAGGTTTGAAAGCCTGCATCTGAACTACCTCATCGTATGTGGATAGAAAGACCAAAGCAAAGTCATTTAGCCTAAACGTACAAGCATGGTAGTGGAGACTCAATGATTTTGTTACCGTGCAGTCAATAAAACACCCATGGTTTGCTATTTATACCAAAGATTTCTCCAGCCAGTAATAAGGCCATCAGTCCATTGGCCATATCTTGGTCTTACTGTAAAAGTCTAGTCAATATCCAGACCTTAATTTAAGGGTTTGATATGAGAGCTTCCCAAAAATAAATATCACCCAAACTTTATGAACTGAAGGGTGATTGAAAAGAGACATTATTGTTGCTCCAGCCGTTTGTAAAACCTCTTTGTTGTACAATTCAGCCATGACGTTGTGATGTGTGAAAAGAGCGGTATAACACTGCATCCTCCTGCAGGAATCCTCAAATTAAGATAAACTGCAGTTTCCTAACTGTATTTAAGCAAATTGGGCTTCATCAAAAAGTCTACAAGGGAAAAACACAGAGAGCAGCAAATACATTAGGCGGTGGGTCCTTTCTATTTGGATATGATTTTTGAGTTGGTAATACACTGAATACATTTCATTATATCCTAATTTTTCTTCATGCTAAATCACTAGCAGTATTTATTACATATGTTATTACATATATTTGATCTATAAATGCTTCCTCTGGAAAAAAAAAAAAAAAATGCAAACCTATTTTCCTTGTGAATGCTGTTTATGTACAGAAAAAGTGGACTGGAATACTACTCCCTATGTAAGTGGTTCCATTTCCATGAATTTCAAAGTAAAACTGCAGACTGTAAATCAAGTGATGCAATGCACTCTGAGCTTCGTCTGCCCGTGGTCACAACATTTGAAGCCGTCTGCAGAGACAGAGACAGAGACAGAGAGTCGGGTTCTGAGGCGAGGGATGTTTATAGCTGTGACTCTTTTCCTAATATAACTTTGTGTGGACCTTCAGCTGCCATGAGACCAGGAACAGGTGGGATGTTTTACATGTCAGAGTCTCAGAGGGGCTCTGGACATCTTCCTCGCAGTGGCAGAAGAGAGATGAGACAAAAAGCAGTGCTGGCTGAAAACATAGCACTGAAGCTTCACACTATTTTATAGTTTCAATATAAAGTCAACACACAACCAAGGTCTTGACCCAGACATTTCAAGTGTTGTATTTATATATATATCCCACACAGACACCACATTCTTTAAGAAGAAGAAAACCTTTAAACCTAAGGACGAATTTTAGGTATCACAAACTGAAACACAACTTGTTTCAATCTGCAGCCTTAATAATCCAGTGTGGGCTCTATCAGACATAGTGGTGTTACAAAACTACATGGATTAAACAGTTTTAAGGGAAAGTGCTGGTCTATTGTGACATGTATGTGCAGACACATGATTGTGTCTTGGGAACCTGGAGGGATGAAGCCCAGGTACCGACTATAAGATGACTCCTGCATATCGAGATGATGCATTTCAGCATAATTTAATTATTCATCTTAATAAATGCTGAAGTTTAAACAGCTACAAATGTGAATATAAACATTTAGATGCTTCTTTCCAGTTTTTTTCATTACCACTGCTAATTATTCTTTTTTTCCCACTTTTGAATTTACCTTCATCCTTCTGTTTTAGTTGCCTTTGTTTCCGTCCTGTTTCTTCCTAAATTTGTTCATTCCTTCCTTTCTTGTTTCACACTTCACCTTCCATCCATACTGTTAAAGTTTCCTTCCTTGCCTCATTTTATCAATCCCCCTTCCACACCCTTTTAAATTATCATCACCAGTGCTGCATCCTTCTTTTAGTTCTTCATTTTTTGTCATCCATCTTTATTAAATTTGCATTTCTTTCCATAACTCCTTCCTTTAATTTTCATTTTCCCATCTTTTTATCCACAATAACTGTTCATGTATTTTCTCGGTTTATTGTTTCCATACTTCTAATCTTTTATGTTCTCTTTCCTTCTGTGCACTGATTTCTCCACTTCTCCAAAATTTGTTTTTTGGCTTTCTTACCTGCCTTTTTTTTTTTTTTTTTTTTTTTTTTTTTTTACAAAATAAGCTTTTCTTGTTCCTCTCTTCCTGCTAATGACTCTTTCATCCTATCTTACTTGTTCATCTCCTCATTTATATGTAGGGGGTTTGAAGGAAGATTATGGTTTTATACTCTGCCCATTATTGTTTTAATCTCTAACTTTAACTACTCAGGTGGGAGGAGGCAAAATATAATTTCTATAAACTTAGGTGTAGAAGCTGAAAAGAAATCTCATTACAGTTTCAGGAGGTTTTTTTTTTTTTTTTGTCAAGAATTTCTGACAAATAAGGATATATTTTAAATTTGTATTTACATAGCTGGAACAGAAGCTCCTGCCTTGCACAGTATGAAGTATGTTATTTGTATCTTTCATCTAAAAACTGTCCTTAGGGGATAGCACAAACCCTATGTATTCCAATAAGTGCAATCAAGCATGGCCAGCCTGTGGTTTCGTTACGCTTCCAAAGGTCTACAGAAAACAGAAAAAAAAACTTTTAAAAAATGGGGATAATAAGACCCTTTGAAATATCTCTGTGGGATCTTTGGATCTGAAAGTTTTCCATCTGAAGATAAACAAGTTCCCAAGGGTGTAATTTTGGAGTATATATCATACTTCTTGTAGATAGGTTGATATTTGGAGAAAAAACACAGCAAATCTTTCAGAAACACACCATGAAAGGCGCTTTATAAATAAACTTAACTTACTTTAGTGACTGCCTGAAAGTTGTTTGGGTTAACAGTTATGAGAGGAGAAAGTTGAACTGGAAACTGAAGAGAAACTTGAGATTTACTAAAACTTTAACAACTGCTTTAAAAGTTTACCATCCTGTACCGTCCATTTCTTGTCAACAGTGAAATGATGACTGTGTGATCTATTGAAATCAAACTTTGTTTTTCTAGAAAAATCCACTTAAATATAATAGTGTCCTGCCAGACGTATCAAAGAGGCCGATGGAAACAGTGAGCACTCCAAAAGCAATATTCTAATTTTTTTTTATATTTTGGCCAAAATGCAAATGAAAGATAGAAATATAAAGAGGCAGCATATCTAGAACCTCCACCAAAAGGAAAAAAGTGGTGGTAACAGATGAAGCACTCATTTACCAACTTAATGACCTAACTGGTTGCTTTCCTCTAGGGATTTCTGTTTTTCTATGCTTGTTTTTACACTGCATTATCTTTTTATTGGTTCTGTTAAAGCAGATCTCACATATAAGCATATTTTTTGTCCAGATTAAGCTAAACATACAACCATTCCAACCCTGATAAATAAAGTTGAATCTATGTCTAAAGTCTTCAGCATTAGCCTGTGTTGGGTCGTGTGTCAAGTAAACGCAGACAGTCAGCTGCAGTCTGTCCACACTCTGCTTGTTGTTTATTTATAGCAGCTTATTCCCCAAAGGGACAGAGCAACTGAAACCAAATGTTATGAGGAAAAGGGGCAAGCAGCCAACCCACTCCTTGGTGGAAAAGGTTGAATCTGGAGACAACTGGCTTTCCGAAAGTTAGTTCAAGCTCCAACGCTCTCAGAAACTATGTTTACAAGGTGGTAATAAGATTTGGAGCAGAGTAATTCAGAAGCAGAGTAAACTAAAGGAGGAACTTTACTTTATGTTGGAGTAGGAAGTTCCCTGCAATCAGAGCTGGACCCTCCTACCCGCCCACCAACAATCACATGTAATGAGCATTCACAACAAGGCAGTGAAACCAAACTTACCATGTTTTCTTTCCTTTGTGTTCCCCCCCTCCTGTGATATACTCCTTTATTTCCCTCCCTCCTGGGCTCTTGGTGAGCTCTGGTGAAAATCAGCGAGTGTCAGGAAGATAAAAATGGAACAAAGCTGCTGCTGTGAAACTGCATGAGGCCTTCAATGACCAAAGCAGAGTCAAGGCAGCCACCTCTTTACTTTTCCCCTCCCCTCTGACTTGTTCGCCTGTCAGCTTTTCCAACAACTAACTGCTCCCCGCCTCCTCTGTACGAGCCTCTGAGTTTGGTAGTCGTTTCCTGGACGCTTGGTGACCCTCCTCTCTGACTCTTTCCTTTTTTCAGAAGTGGCTGCTCCACTGTGGAGAGTCTTATTGCTCCAGCCTCCTGTCTCTGTGCTCCAACCCTGCCTTCCTGCCAGATTTAGAACACATGTGGGCTTCGGATCTCAAGTTTAAAGAGGCGGGACTCACCCCAGAGTGTTATTTTGCCATGACAACCTCCTTTATTTTCCCAGCCTACTGTCACTGTGCTTTATGGGCAAATATATCAGATACAGGCCTGACAATCAGAAAGGTGCCTAACCGTGTGAAATGACCTGAAAGTTTCTTACTAACTGCAGTTCCAATACACTAAAAGATGAGGAAACAATCATTTTAAAATTCATGTTATGGGGACTATGTTCATGAAAACATTTGGCTGAAGTCTGTGCACAAAAATGGACTTTGCTCTTAATGATGGCAATTTGAATATTAATATAGAGAAAAGTATGAACAGAATTAATTTTGTTAATATCTATAAGCACAGTATGTCTGCTAAAGAGGAAGACGTGGTGAAACTGTGAAAATATGTGTGGTATGAGACTGAGCCCTCTGACTGTTAAGTGTTTATCGAGAGAGACAATCCGGGAAAAGAAACAGTCTCAGCAGTGCTGACCTGATGGTAAAGGTCTGAGCAGTTTGGGCCAAGGATGTGTGAGGTCTGCAGAGATGTGGGATTGTTTGTATGATCTGAACCTGTCTTGATTTGTGGATGAGCCATACAGAGGTAGATATGCACAAAACAGACTGAACTTTAGACAAGGTGGGATGAAAGACATAGCCAATACTTGATCATGATATATGTCTTACGGTATATTTTGGTCGATACAATATAATTCAAACATCACATCCTTGTAAATAATAAAAACTCCTCAGATAAAACTGTCAAGTCTATGAAACTACCCTAATATAGCATCTTCAAAATGTTCAGTTTAACAAAACATAAGAAAATGTGTATTTTCATGGCTACAAAGAGATAAAATGCATATTTTAACCAGATGATTATCTCAGCCTATTATATTTCCCTGGAAATTGGTTTTTATTAGCTTTCATATTTCCAATAAGAAAAATACGAAAAAAACTGAAAGACTATGCTCACAAATTATATAATAAACTACCAAAAAACTCATAGCTAACTTCAAAATACAAACTAAAGGTCACCAGTCAATTTTCTAACTTTAGATGGATCCTTACTGACACTGTAGGTTTGTATGTTTCTGTCATTCAAGCCATCTACACCTCTGTTTTAGAACTGATTTATATTGTTTGGTTCTTAATAAATGCCTGGTTTAGTTGGTGTTTCTCATCATAATCAAAACTGAGCAGATCAAAGCCTTATTTTTTACCTAGTCACAGCGAATTTTGTCAACATTAGTACTCTCAGGATTAAAAAATACAATGATCCAAATTGATTAAATGAACATTGATCTTTTGATATTGATGCAAAATGTATACATCAGCCCATACCATCATCTTTGAATTATCTCTTTAGTTTGAAATTTAAAAAAGCAAGAGAGGTAAGCAGGTTTCTATTATTATTCTTTTTACAGTTAAAATAATGATTTTGGTTTCAGTCCCCAATAACTTAGAACTTAGAAATAAAATGGTCTTGACAACTGAGGTGGTTTTGGTGAGCTGATATTAATATCTGAATTGTGAAAGATGGGCAGTTTATATATTAAAGTACTGCTCTTAGATTTGTGATACTAATAGAATGGAAGATGGAAGATGGTATTGTGACAGTCTTTGTCATATCTGCAATGTCACATCGTATTGTGATGAAGCTGGTGATTTACTGTATTCCTAATTAGGAACCTTACCTAGAGCAAACCAAACATGGCAGGGATTAGGTCAGTCAAAACAAATTTATCAAATCATAAAAAACATATTGACCTGTGATATATATATATATATATATATAATATGAGACATATAGAATCAAGGTAACTTCAACAGAACCTGTCCGACATTATGGAATTAAGCTGTCAAAAATAAATAATACATCATAAAAAACTCTGACATTCATCATCTGGAAAGGGCTAAAACTGTCTAGAAAAATGTTTTAAACAAAGAAAGGAACAGTAAAGTTTATAGCCATGCATCTTTCTATAAATGACCAGCCAAACCAAACATATTCATATTACTTGGTAGAGTTCCTATGAGTAACGTTAGAGGTCCAAAATCTAAATACCTTGTGACCAAAAACAATGAAATAATCTTTCTCACATTCTCAGAAGACAAATGATGATCCCAAAGGATGTAGAGGAAAATGTCCTGAGGACCGACAACAAGACAGTTATTAATAGAAATTTTAAATATCTGCAATAAAACTGCCTATACAGTAAGTGTGTGGAAATTGTATGAACTATACACACAAAATGACTCATATTTGCTTGAATTTGTATATGTTCTTTATTTGTTTTCTAGCAGTTTTGTTGTTTCTTTTGATGTATATGGATTTTTCTCTCAACTGCTCAACAGATTGGTTGTGCAATTTTAAAAGCTAGATCGTCAGCATGTGAGTTATGAAGAACAGAGAACGATTTAAAGAATGCAAATTCCTCTCTCCCACTTTAATGTTCTGCGGTCTGACAGCGAGGGAGGAAAAGCTTCGGAAAGCTTCTCCTACAAAGCTCCATTTTCTTTCCCCCTCTCTTCCTGCCTCTTCTCTTTACAGACACACTGATCCCATTCTCTCTGCCAGCTTGTTTGTGGCGAAACTGATTCTGGTAGGTTGGGTGAATACTTTTGTGCTTTGATGGTGCATCAAGTAGTTTCACAGCAGAGGGTCTTTGATAGCAAGAAAGAAGGGTTCTTCGTTAGTAACAGGTAAAGAAAACAGCTTCTAAAAAAACTCAAAAAAGGGTTAAGCTACAAATAGTCTTACACCCTAAATCTCCATTTCTCCCCAGTGTATTTTAATGTCTACAAATAAAAAGAAAAGTTTTCTCCCTTTTACTGCAAAAGAGCCCAAAACTCTGGAAAAAAAAAAAAGAACAACAGTAAGACTGATTGTCCAAAAGATGAGAAGAGTCCTGAATCATAAGGGCGGAGCTTCGATGAAAGCCACAGAGAGGAGGGGAGGTTGTCTGTTGTCCCTAAACTGCTGCTCGAGCTCCACTTGATGATGTATTAATCAATAAATACAAGGGAAGCCCCCTTCTATGGGTTCTGTGAAGAAAGAAGAAAAACTGTATGGCTGTTTAAAATAATTAACATATAAACAGGGCAGATATACTAAAGAAAGATCAACTTCTGCAAAGTTAAACAATTAAAGTTACCATGCATTACAATGTTTTGTTAGCGTGTTAGTAGTAGTAACATTTTTAGCTAAAGTCTCTCAAGAAACACCATCCTAAGCCAATTTTTTTCACCACTTCCCACAAATAAGAGATCATACTATATAAAATAACCTAACTTTACTGCTTCAAACCAGGAAGTTGAAGACTTATTGTAACAGACAAACTCTTATCAGTTAGCTTGTATTTAGGATGAAAAAATAAAGTGGTCGGGAAGGGGTTGTCAGTGCTTCGCTGACATGGACAATGGACATGACACAGAAAGGCCTAAACACACCAGACATGGTTTGCCCTCCGATCTGACAGAAAATCAGATTGCATGAGGTTGTACCGTAGCACTTTAATCTCATTGAAGTTATGGTTGGTCAGCCCACACACGATTCTCTGTAACTGTGCTTGCATAGATCCGACTGAAACGGACCAGAGGTCTATTTCAGTCAATCAACTCAGAAATTCAGCAGCAATGGTATAATTCAGACAGGAACAGAGACAGTGGCAAGGTTAAAACACATCTGCTTTTGGGAAAATACAATTTAAAATGTTTAAATTGCAAGATAAAATCAGCCAGGTTTGTTCCATTTGGAAACACAGGATGTATACACAGCAGGAAGGGCACATTCAGACTTCCACAGTCATGGAAGGAGCCCAGGAGAGCAGAAAAAAAAAATGATACAGAGTATCAGACATTCTTTGAACTTCAATTAAAACTATTTGAAATAACTAGGATGCTAAATAACTGTTGAGACAATGCGGGCTTATCGTGCTTTACTCTTCAAATAGAAAAATATGTTCGTCAAACTTTACAAAACGCTCTCTGAGAATAAATTTTCAGTGGTCTTACCCGGTTACATACTATTAAACAGTCTGTGGCAGTGTTTTCTTTCCTTTCAATGTAGTTTCCTTTTCTTACTTGTACTCGTCGTCTTCCACCTATCCAGAACCGGGTCCCAGAGAAAACAGTCTCAGCAGAGACTCCCAGACTTCCCTGTCCTACTCCTACTCCAGCTGGGGGGAACCCCAAGGCCCTCCCAGACCAGCCCAGAGACTTACTCTCTGCAGGGTGTGTTGGGTGGTCCCCTGGGCCTGTGCACCGGTGTGTTATGAGATGGGGTGCAGCATTTAGGCTACGATTGATTGCCCAGATTGGCTCTGCTTTCTTTACATTTGAAAAAGCACAAATTTTTACCTTTCATAATTTGGCATCTGACTCTACTACCTTGGCAGCTGCCTTTACTACCAAAATGGGGGCGTCTCCAGGCAGTGGCCAAGAACAGTTCTTAACAATTTCAGAGAATAAGCCGCTTAAAACGCTACAAACCAGACATCAATCCTGCATCTATGATTGCCAACACCTGCTGGAGCTACGGTCACAAAATGTTTTAAATACAGACATTCTTGACCGTTTAAAAAGTTGCAGAGAGCTACTGGCGAAGGTAAACAAAACAACAGTGGGATCACCTACCAGGCCAAGCCAACAGATGCGCAAGATTGAGGAAGTGAGGCTGGATCTAGATCGGTCGACAGCTTCTGCTCTCCAGACATTGAGTTTCTGACTGTTAACTGCAGACCATTCTATCTGCCCAGAAAGTTCAGTGTGGTTAGCATCACTGCTGTTTACGTGCCCCCCAGTGCTGAAACAAAAGAGGCCATGAAGACTCTATATCAGGCATCTGTATCATATCATCTCTGAGCTTCAATCTGCACACAGAAAGGGTGTTTTCATCAT